TATGAATTTGTCACAAGTTGAAGCATTTGGTTAAACTTCCATGTGTATCTTTAATCTGCGGCTTCTTTACAAGCTAATTTGTGTTTCTATGTGAGTTTTTTAGGGTAAATGAAGCTGTGGATACCAAGGAAATGGATCTAGTATTCTAATACTTCTTTCGATATACTTAACTTTCTGTTGATGGTTGTTTTCTTGTATACTTGTTCCTAACTGGTTTTGATATGTTTATGGATAGAAATGGCATGTATGTAAAGGTTCATGGGCACCTGAAGGGCTTGCAGGGAAAGAAACAATTGATGGTTTACTCTGTCAAGTAAGGATCGTACGAATCTGTTTTTAAGGTTTGTGATTTTTGTCCATCATGTTTGCTACTGAAATTCTGCAAGTAAAACACCTGACAGTTAACATGCAGGGATTGTCACACATAAATCTCTCCCTTCCCCCCCTACTCCCCTCTAGTGAAATATGCATTACCGATGGCATATTTTGTATAATGTACAGAGTATACTCTATTTTAGCCTGCAAGAAAAATTGTATGTTACTGTGAAACTTTGTATACTAGATTTGGTGAGGCCCAAAGTGAGAAATTAGAATTCCCCTTAAAGCAAAAAGTAATTTTATTATTTGCTACTATATATTGTTTTATGTTGATTTTATCTTGAATTCAATTGGATGATATTGTATATTATATAGAAGAAAATTTTCACTCATAAAGGGCTGACTAAATGGTGCTTTACCGATCTATTGGTTTTTATATTGTTGATACAAAACCAGCATTGAGCTAGTACTCTATGTTGAAGCAACACATGATGAATCTGGTTGCTTTTGTGGAAATTTAGGATATTAAGTAAAAATTGGGATAGTTGTTTATTGTGCTTCTGATATATCAAATTTTTGTGCCACCGTGAGCTTCAGCAGTCTTGATCTGGCTGTCATCATTTAACATTGGCACAATACTATGTCAACATGATTATACTAATTATTCCCAGGAATCTGGATTATCTTATTACGTTCTCGCCTTTTGATTAGTTAACACCTAAGTGAACAATTTTAAGGCGAAATGCAATTAACTAGATAATGAGGATGTAGCAAGAGTTCTATCCAACACTCACATTAAGCCCTTGTTTGAGCCCCATTTTTCAAAAGAATGAATTTTGTAATAGTGATTTTTGGAGAATGAGTGGTCAAAAAGTGGAAAAAAAATTTCGATTTACAGGCAAATTCAAATTATTTTATTGAGAGAATGTGATGTTAAAAATGAGTTTAGGGAAAAATCATTTTTTAAATAATGGGACTCAAATAGGGGCTGAATACATCTGTTCTCATGTTCTTAATGCAATCTTTTTTTGTCTTATTCTTGAATCCTTGCAGTTCTTTCCTTTAAAATAATAATAATAATAATAATAATAATAATAATAATAATAATAATAATAATAATAATAATAATAATAATAATAATAATAATCTAATCATGCTGTGCTGTTACTTTTAGGCCCTTGTCAGACTATAATGAGATTGCACACCACTTTGCTGAATGTGTATATGTCCATTGCCACAACACCAGGCTTCGGGTATACTTATAACTGTTAAAAAGTTTTTGCATGAAAGAGCCTGTTATGTGTTCATAATGAGGTTTTCCTCCATTCTTATCCCTTTAGAAGCTGCAGGATGCTGTCACAGCTCCTACTTAGATGCCAAATTCTGCTGGTAACACCCCTTTGAATGGTTTCCAGCCTACCCCATCAAATCATGTAAATTACTATTCAATAATGCAACTTTAAATTACATTTTTTTTTCCTGATTCAAATAATTGATGATTCTGTCATTTCCTTTTTCAGTTTTCTGTACAATATGACATGGATGGGATCAAGGGCATAGATAAATTGGTTTTGGACTATTTGCAGCAACCACCATGCCTGTGAGTTATATGAGCTACTTATCCATCTAATGAAAGATTAGTCTTCTTTTCTTCCTCTTCCAAGAACCCTCAGACATGTTTGTGAATGATTTGTTGACTTTGTACTCAAGTACGCAAACCCCTAAGGTGAATAGTTTAGTTCTACAGATGGTAATTGGTAACTAATTAACTATGCATGACAATATCATTGGTAAGCGGTAACTTTTGGAGGGTCACTTCTTTCTGACGTAAGTTTGGAACAATCAAGGCCGTGGAACTAGCAGATGGGGTTTATGCATTAAAATATAACAAACATGTATGGAGGTTCCCAAATCTATTCACAATCAAACTTCAGAAAAACAAGTTTCATGGGCAGGGATCAGTCTTGAAAAAATGGTAAACTTGGTGGGAAAATAGTAGTTTTTGTTCAGTAAAAAAACTATTGTAGTAGAATCTAGAATTTGTTTCTTGATGATAAACACTATTATAGCACGTTCGTAATGATGTCAGAACTTTATTTTCTTTTGATTTATTTTCTTCTTTTTCCGCACTGAATGGAAGTAATGATTATGTGGTTTAAGGTGTGGCTACTATGCACAGTCTTGGAGTTTTGAAATTTGCCAAGTTTAACCTTCATTTGTTGAAGAAATAAGTAGATGACATTCCAGCAGCAATAAACATGAAATTTGTGCAAAATTCTTGTATACAAATTAAACCTCAAAAAAATCTTGAACTGGTTGACTGGTTCTGTTAGAAGTCAAAATGTTACCAGTATATTTGAAACCAATTTATTACAAAAAAGTTATGTCCTCAGCTTACCTGCCTGCAAAATCATGGAACAAACTCCAGGAATAAGATCTTCATTAAGGTGTTTTTGCTTATGTAGTGTATCTGGGAGAAAACACATTATCAGATAATTAACATGACATGTTATTGGTACCTCAACTGTGATTGATAGATACATGTTGGATATGCATTCTTAACCTAGTGACAGTGTCATTGATATACATCTTGTTTGTAGTGTTCCAGTTAATGGTTTTCTTCCATCACATTCTCAAATTTTGTCATATGTTGTTATGGTATAATGGCATCATATTGTTCTTGTTGCTTCTGTTATTATACTTCCTCACTTTTGGTATCTTGTGGATATTGCATTATGCAAATTTAGTGTGGCATATGAGGGATGGTGGTTGGCTGTCTCAATTGATATTAAAATCTGTGTTTTTTTCTGGTTTCTGGCATCTTCTGAGTTGTACTGTTTCAAGTATTTAAAGAACCTTAGAACTCAGTGATGATTTTTCAATATTTCAGTGCACGGGAGAAGGGAGTGCCTCGCAATGAACTTGCACAACAGCTAAATCTTCCTGAACACAAGATCTTGTAACCTCTCTCTCCCTCCTTCCCTCCCTCCTCTCTGTACTAAACGTATTCATCCTTGTTTTTGGTCCCTTGACAGAGAAGCAATCGAGTCTCTTGAATCAGAAGGTCTAGTTTACTCAACAATTGATGAACATCACAATAAGTCCACACAGCCAACGGTTGAATTCCAATAAAAGAGTGAAGTGATTGAAGGGTATGCCTATGCCATGTTATTGCTACCAATAGCTATATATTTATGCTGCCACAAATATGTGCATCTGGCAATCTTCCTTTTCTTGTAGTATTCTCTCTGTCAACCTACTTTGTAGATGGAAGTGAATTCAGTGGTGAATCAAATTCATTAGCCTTATAATTAAAGAACACGCTCTATGATTTTGTTGCTCATATAATGTCTAATATGTTTTAGTCCACATTTCTGCTTCATTCGACCAAAAACACAAGAAGATATACAGTTTTCAGGGTAAATATCGTTTTCCAGATTGTGAAAAGAATAAGAATCAAACATGGCTTAGATTGTGTCATAACAGGACATACAATCATTGATCACTATGCAAGCTTGCTAGATCTTTAGATGATAGGACCAACGTTTTCGAGAAATTTAAACCCCCTGCTTTATCTAATAGTTTATCATCACCGGCTGCTATAAAATTTCTATTAAATATACCAGAGCCCTCAACTAAATTCTTCCCTTTTCTTGCATCATAGCTTTTGAAAATTATCAGTAAACGGATTCCCTTCCCAGGTAACGTCGACGGAATGTAATGATTCTTGTAATGGAAATTGTATTTCTTGCTATGTTTGTTTTGAAATATAATGACATTATAGAATCTGTTACCATCTTAGAATTAGGTGATTGCAGTCATTCTGTAGTTGAAAACTTAACAAAGTTCTTAGCAACTGTCTCCATTTTCATGCTTAAACAAAGTTGGATGAACGGGCAGAGTGGTAGCTTACCATTTAGCAATATGGTTTCTTGGGTGACAATAGGAATCCCCCTGCCCACCAATCCCCTCTACGAGTATTTTATGGATAATATGATATTCTCTGTGTCCGTGTCCATACGAGTCAGGTTGGTGTGGAGTGCATTATGCTTTCTTTAAATTTCTATCTAAGAAAATCGTTGCATTTGAAGGAGTGTCTCAAGCACGACGACGTTTAACAGCTTATCCGACATTTATTTTGGAAAATATTTTTCTAAAATTGAAAATTTGAGAGGCAGGTTCGGATGTTTCATTCAATTATATTTGTCACAAATAAAAAAAAAAAAAAAATTTTGGTTTGTCGTGTTGCAGAGTTTGAGAGAAATTAAAAGGCTACTGCATTATGTAGCACTTGCATCACTCATTTTTTTATGAGATTGTAAAAGAAGTTTATGAAATGTGATTGAAAATTTATGAGATCAATGCGAGATGTGGTTAATATTAATTGTTAGACTTTAATTTAGATTAAAATATGTAGAGGGAACATATTGGATGAAAAGGTTAACTTTGTTTTAAACTGATAAATGATATAGTGATATATAGTATTATATAATTTATTATGTAAAGTTTAATGTACATTTAGCATAGTTCTAAAAAATTTAATTTTAATTCCAACCAAATATTCTCTTAATTCGTTCGGAAAAGTCTATTTACAAAGTCAAATTGACTTGCACTCTTATCCAATAAAAGGAACGGTAAGTACAAGATTTTCCCTAAAATTTCCTATTTCAAGACGCGTTGCACGATTGAGAAGAATGAAGACGCGTTTTCCATCAGTTGACTTTTCTCTTTCTTCTTGCTTCTTCCGTTAAGAAACGAGTCGACTCATTTGACCAGTTCTCTCTTTCTTTCTTCCCATTCAACTTGCCCAGCCATCCATGATTCATCCTCGTCTACTTTAATTCCTAATTTTCCGTTCAAAACACACTTCATCTTTTCACTTTTCATCGTCAGAGCAGATCCAAAAAAATGAATGATCTTTTTTCAGGATCCTTCTCTCGTCTCCGTGGCCAAGATCCAAATTCCCACACCATCCAAATGACAAACTCACCTAATTCCACTGGCGGGGTAAATCTCGACAAGTTTTTCCAAGACGTCGAGGCCATCAAGGATGAGCTCCGTGATCTGGAGACGCTCTACAGCCAGCTCCAGGCCGCACACGAGCAGAGCAAAGTTCTCCACAATGCCAAATCCGTAAAAGACCTTCGAGCAAAAATGGATAACGACATCGCCATATCGTTGAAAAAGGCCAAGATGATCAAGGTCCGATTGGAGGGATTAGACAGGTCCAACGCTGCTAACCGCAGCGTCCCGGGCTGTGGACCCGGGAGCTCATCCGACCGGACCAGGACTTCAGTCGTCAACGGCCTGAGGAAAAAACTTCAGGACATAATGAACCGATTCAATGAGCTGAGGCAGAAAATGAACTCCGAGTATCGGGAAACCGTCCAGAGAAGGTACTACACAGTGACAGGGGAAAACCCAGATGAGAAAATCTTAGACAATCTGATCGAAACCGGGGAAAGCGAAACTTTCTTGCAGAAAGCAATACAGGAACAGGGCAGAGGACAAATAATGGACACTATAATGGAGATTCAAGAAAGGCATGATGCAGTAAAGGAAATGGAGAAGAATCTGAAGGAATTGCATCAGGTTTTTATGGACATGGCTGTATTGGTGCAGAGCCAAGGGGAACAATTGGATGATATTGAGAGTCATGTTCACAGGGCAAATTCTTTTGTTAGAGGAGGCACTCATCAGCTGGAGGTGGCTAGGAAACACCAGAAGAATACTAGGAAATGGGCTTGTTTTGGAATCATTCTTTTGTTGGTTATTATCTTGATTGTTATTCTCTCCATTAGGCCTTGGGAGAAGAAATGAGAATTTTTTTCTGGATTGTTATGCAATATTTTGCTTTTTTTTTTTTTAGTTTGTATATTGTTTTTTTTTTTTTTTTTTTTCCCTTTCTTCCCAGTTTATTGAGTTTTTGGAATTTTAATGTTTGAAATAAGATTCTTTTCTCTGTAACCATTTAAACTTTTGTATGGACATTGTTAAATACTTAACTCTTATTACATTAACAATCAGAACTCATATATGGTCTGCATTATCATATCAAATCTTCTATTTTCTTCCATTATATGTTGTGAATTTATTTCTCAATTGTGTAAGTTAATGTGTTGTCATGTTGTATGTTCAACAATTAATCAACCGATTCACTTAGTATTGTATCCGAGTTAAAGACTAATACCAATATGAACAACGAGATATAGACTCCGAGCTGAAGTAGTTGATGGGAAGAGATTTCCCTTATTGTAAGTAATGACCCATAAGATCAACTTCAGGCAAATACTTTGGAAGCACAACATTTGGCATTGATATTCATGTACAAAGTTAAAAGTTTCTTTGTTACACGTACTTTTCCTCGACTTAAGAATCAAAATGTTCTCTCAAGAGTTCTCCACCAATTTCCAAACGTATTGTGTAGGTGATTAATAAGTGCATTTCTTGCACTTATTTGGTTCATGGTTCCATAAATTTAGATTGCATTGCATGTATTTGAGTCGTTTGCTAGTTGATTTCTGCTCTTTTCGTGCTTTGTAGGATTACACTATTGACAAACATCGAGTGCATGAGGATTAAAGTGGGCGTTTAACTAGCATAATGTGAAGATGGGAAAAATTCAAGAGGGCACAAGGGCTAATATGGAGGTCACCTGAGGCACACATACTCAGAAGCGAGCCCCATAAGCTCGATGGTAAACTGTCGCGAGTGCCCTATTGAAGGAAAAAAGGGCTTGCTGGTGACTTCCCAGCCTGCAGGAAAACACGTGTGGATCTATTAAGACGCGCTTTTAGTGGCAAATTTGGTATTTGACGGTCCAGTCTTCTAGAGTTTTTAGAAAACATATATATCTTACAGGTCGGAATTGAAGAAGGGATTTTTGTGGGTAGAATGAAAACGTGACTTTTTGCATCACTTTAGAATTCTTGAGCCAGAAGAAAAAAAAAGTTACAAGATTAGTCAAGAGAAATTGGAGGAATTCAAGTATTCAAGATTTCTCTTTCTATTTTCTTCTTATTAAAGGTTAAACCTTAACCTTAAGGGTCCCCCACCACTCCTGCCCTGGAGTATCGTGAGGGAGGTAAATCGCAGGTTATGCCTCCAAAGGTACAGGGTGGAAGGCTGCTTGTACACTTGCACTTACCCAAGAGCCAAATCCATATTTCAGGATTCGAACTCTTGACGCAGCAGCCTCAAGTCCCCTTTTACCACTTGGAGATGTGTCCTGGGGGCATTTCTATTTTCTTCTTATTAATTTGATTTCGGGTGGTATACGAACAAAGCAAATCCTTATCTTGCGTTCCTTGGAGATGATGGATGACTTTGACTACTCAAATGTAAGTAAGAAAGCAATCAAAATGAGGTTATGAATAGATCACTCTCATCCTGCAAGCAGCATCACTACCTGGAACGATCTAGTCTAGAAATTTACTGGCAAATACTTCTTCATGCCAAAGTGGCGAAACAGGAGCATGACATCATTTTTTTTTTTTAGGCTGCTTGACACGGAAAATTTTCATAAAGCGTGTGAGAGATTCAAAGAAATGCTCAAACCATGACACCAAGACAGGGTACATAAGTTCAATATTTCTATGCCGGACATATAATTTTGCATAAAAAAATGAGTATTTTCAAAAAAGAGCTTGCTATGCGCAAATTTTTTCACGTCAATATACATACGCCAACGCATATAATCCAGACTGGAAGAATCATCCTAATTCTTGGAATGATAATCAGAATCAGCACAATGCTCCAAAATAACAGTCGGGTTTTCAAGGTGAAGAAAACAAAACAAGCTGGGAGGAAGATCTGGCCCAAATTGCTAATCACACCAATCAGTTTATGTAGAGGACATAGCAGGATATAGGGTTTGCTTTGAATATCTTAAACTCAACAATGCAACTCTAAATGATCATTTGCCTTTACCATTCATTGATCAATTATAGGAGAGGTTAGCCGGGCCTTTGCGTTACAGCCTCCTTGACCGGTACCGGGTTTAATCAGATTCGTATAACTCTTGAAGATCAAGCAAAGACTACCTTCACCTACCAATGTAACACATTTCCTCGTAGAAGGATGCCTACCGGCATACACAATGCTCATGTTCGTTTTCCTATTTGCAATGATGTCTTCATAGTGTTCATAGTGAAATATAAAAATTCAATTATAAGTACAAAATCAAGCAAGTTTTTTACTTTTAAGTGAAATATTTAATTACAAACAATTTATTTTATATGTAGAAAATTTCTTTCGAGTGAATTTTACTCTATGTTTCAGAGGCTCAAAGAAGACGATGGCATTTTGGGCAACCAAAATTGTTTTCGTGTATTAGATTTTATTTTAGTTATAAGTTTACGGTTGGGTTTGAGGTTTTCGCTTTTAAATTTGGGCAAACAAAATTGTCGTTCGTGAATAGTTTGTAAATTAGTGGCTTGAGCATAGTTGTATGACCAAATTGTCACCTCTGAGTATATGGAGGATGAAATTACCGATTGATCATAGTATAAGGACTGAATTATCATTTGAGAATATTTGAAGGATATAATTGTCTCCATTCAATAGTTAGTGGACAAAATTGTCATCTCTTGGACCCAATTGATGTTACAGAATAGTTGAACACCAACTTCACCCTTTAGAATAGTTGGTGGACTAACCGGACTTTTTGGGATAGTTAGAGAATCAAATTAACTTTTGTATATAGTTTAGGGACCAAATTAACACTTCAACATAGTTTGAGGATCTTACGGATAGTTGGAGGACCTAATTGACTATTCAGGATTATTAGAGGATCAAATCAATGCTTCTAGATAGTAGGAGGACCTATCAATGTTTCTATATAGTTGGAGGACCTAATTGACTCTTTAGCATAGTTGATGGACCAAATTGACTTTTCAATAAACTTGACCGACCTAATTGACTCTTGGTGATACGGATTATATAAAATTCACATTTTAGAAAGTTCGAGGATGGATTTAAATTTCTAGAATAATTAGAGGACCAAATTTACTTTTCAGGTAAGATCGTGGACCAAATTAACACTTTAGTATAGTTTGAGGATAAAAATGATGCTACCACGATATATGTAGGACCAACATCACCATTTTGAAAAGGGAAAATTGCAGTCGAGGTACCAAACCTTTTGTTTATTAGCAAACTTTGTCCAAACTTTTCATTTGTGCTACCGAAGGTACCAAGCCTTTCAAAAATCCGCACCCGAAGTCCAAATGGATTGAAACTGTATTAGTTAACCAAGAAAAGTAAATTTTGACATATTTTGACCAAATCGAAATGGGTAAAATGGTAATTTGATAATTACCATATTAAATAAATTGAACAGAAAAATAAAAAAATCAAGAAAAAATCAAAAAATTAAGAAAATAAATTAAAAAAGGGTTGTCTTCTTCAACCTCCGCACCCCACCATCTTTGTCCCTAAACCAGCCACCAGCACTACCCCATTGTATCTCACCCACCACAACCATAAATCAACAAACTTGCAAAAATTATCAGTATGAACCAGCAGAAGCACATAAACGAAACAACAAAAGCATAAAAAACCAGCAGAAACAAAATGAACAAGTAGAAACCCCAGAAAAAATAAAATAAAAAATAAAAATCTAGCAAAATTATATAAAACCAGCAAAAACAGATTACAGCAGCAACCTGTAGATTACATTAACGGAAGCACAAAGAAATAACAGATTACATTTCCCATCTAACCCAACTGTAGTCAACAACTGGCCTCCATGTTCAATTTTGAAAAAGCACCCATCTAATCACATCCTGATCACCATATTCAATTGTCTGTTTAGCCTCTTTGTATTGTTCATTACAAACGTCGGGTTCATATATTGAGATTTTCTTGAAATTCAGCCACACCACCTCTACATTTTCGGACAAAGATGGTGGGGCGAGCATGGGGTGGGGAGGTTGAAGAAGACAACCCTTTTTTAATTTCTTTTCTTGATTTTTTCTTGATTTTTTTTTGTTCAATTTATTTAATATGGTTATTATCAAGTTACCATTTTACCTATTTCAATTTGATCAAAATAGGTCAAAATTTACTTTTCTTGGTCAATTAACGTTCAAATGGATGGTTTCCATCAATTTGGATTTTGGGTGCGAATTTTTGAAAGGTTTGGCACCTTCGGTAGCACAAATGAAAGTTTTGGGTAAAGTCTGTTAATAAACAAAAGGTTTGGTACTTCGGCTATAATTTTCCCTTTTGAAAAGATGGAGCACTAGTTTAACCCTAAGGATTGTTGGAGGAGTAAATTAGCTCTTCAGAGTTGTTGGAGTACCAAATTTATGCTTTTGCGAGGGGACCAATTTCGTACTTCAGGATAGTTGTAGGCTCAACATCACCATTCCTAATTGTTGGTGGACCAAAATGATCCTTCGGTATACCTTGAGGACCATGTTGATGCTTTACGATAGTTAAGGTTGACCCTTGTCAATAGTTTGAGGAACAAGTTGACGTATTTATATAAAATACATTTTTATGAAATTTTTCCCCTTCTATGTACAAACCTAGTGCAGAAAATACTGTCTTCTCCTGATTTCACTCTAGAAAATATTAATGGATGATGCCCCCGTTTGGCCCCCATTTTTTAGAAATGATAATGGGTGGAATATTTTTTTTTTTTTTTAAATGAGTCGAGTTGAAAAAAAAAAAGAAAAATTTTTTGATTTACGTATAATATTATTTTATGAAAAATTGTATGATTAAAAATAGTAGAGAAAAAAAATGAAATGTAATGGAATAGAAATTAATGAGATTCAAACGGGAGCTAAACCTCCGTTGTTGTCTACTTTATATCCAACAAAAACATCAACATGGTCCACTAAATATGATTGGACATTTAGGCAACAGTGGGATTTAAAATTAAATTTTGATAAAAGTTAGATGAAATGTGTAGTTGAAAAGTTGTGAGTCCCATAAAATGTGTTATTAAAATTAATTACATTTAAAGTAAAATCTAGATTTTAATCCCTATCAAATAAGGACTTACATCCCACCTGTCACACCACATTACGATCAAACCTTCGCTTCAACCAACACTATCACCCACAATATATCGATCCATTCCTTGTTTCAACTTCAATTCACTGGCCCAATTCTCAAAAAACCTAAGCTCGGCTAAAAAAATAATAATAATAAATAAATAAAATGTAGTTTGAGTTTGGAAATGGTTCAGTTTCCTTGTTTTGAGTAATCATTTATATGTTTTGTACATAGTTGTGAATTAGACTAATGGCATTCATTATAATTAGCAAGATTTTAGTTTTTCCCCCTCATGTATGGGTATTTTATCTAATATGTCATTAGCAATTTTTAATAAATTCATGTTCCAAATTTGACGAAAATTTTCTGTGTAGACAACAATATAATTGTGAAATTTTCTTTGTTATTCAGTCTATTGGGGTCTTTAGAAAATTTGTTTTAGCTGAGAGAGGTAAACACTAGGTTGACTTTTGTTGCGATGCAGTTTAAGAATCATCTCAATCTCAAATGGTATAAATTTAATTTCTTATCTTAAAATTTTTCAATTGTTACCTAATCTACCTTATCAAATTGACGTTTAAGCTAACGTTTTTATAATATTAAAATTTTTTAACGGAGTAACCAGTGATGTTTAGCAAACAAATGCTCATCTTCTAGCTGCACTTGAAATTTTGTATTAGTCTGCTTCCATTGCACGCTAATTAACCAGTGGAGAAGACATGCTCAAATGTTATGTCAATCTGAAGACAGGCAAATTAATTATGGGTTGCATTGGAGACAGGATTTGCATGATCCAAGACACCCCCTTTTCAAGTAATCATTTACTCCAAAAGACAAATATGAGACATCCAGTGTAAATGTATCCGATTCCCAAGCAGGTTCCACTTCAATCTTCGTCTCTTCTAATGCAATATATGTCATCAAACGTTTTATTCCCCAAGTAAGAATCCATAAAAATAGTCATTCTGGTATAGGACATACATATGGTACTTAGGGTTCATATGACAGGGATTCTACTTTTTCTTCCCTTTCTTGTGCAAGAGCTTCATGTTAACTAAAACGTCCAATGACAATTTTTAGCCGTCATTTTATATTCTGTTTCTATCTTTTTTGTTTAGCATATAGTATAGATACAATGGTAAATCAAAGAAACTAAGCTCAAAGGGGTTTGCTGAGGCACTTTTGGTGAATTTATCCTCTTGCTCTGATAATCATACAAATTGATAGACGATTCTTGAACCTTATTTTATCCCAAGTAGAGACACAATACCAAAAAAATATATATAAAATAAAATAAAATGAAATAAAAATCCTGATATGGACAGCACTTGTACGCATGGACGAGGTTTGACACCTCCGTGCTGGTTCTTCGAACTTTAGATTGTAGTACGTTTTAAGAGCTCATCCTTTAAAATGGTATGTCAGTTGGGATCGAGTGTGAGATAATTTGTTGTCCGTATTGTTACATTAAAAGTATCTTCCTCTAATATGAAAGATCTGGGAAGGATACAGTTTTGACGTACATATAATCAAATAAAAATAAATTCTATAATTTAATTGTGATAAAAATGTTATATTCTTCTCAAATAATAATAATAATACCTACTCAAAATTTTGGGAATGAACAATCTTTTTATCTGTATACTGATCCACCGTAAGAATTACTCCCTGAAAGCAAACCAATTTGCCGTATCGAGGCCCTTGTTCCCAGGCCATATATACCCCGATACGTGCAGGAAACACCGACACTTCGAATTAGCCTACGCCTCAGTAACCATAGGTTACCTATTCCATGCACACGTGCACTGAGATATTGTATTATTGCATTCTATTTCTATCTGTATATATATGCACTGTAAATTTTTTGAGAGAGTTCTCGAAGAAAGCTTATGAATTTCAAGATTTCTTAGAATGGACAGGGGATGGAAACCTATTGTTGATGTGTCACGAGCCTGTCCTCGTTGTGGTTCTTCAAATACCAAATTTTGTTACTACAACAATTACAGCTTGTCACAACCTAGGTACTTTTGCAAAGGTTGTAGAAGGTACTGGACTAAAGGTGGGTCCCTCCGGAATGTTCCGATCGGCGCAGGTTGCCGGAAGAGCAGACGATGTAAGTCCATACGCTCCTTGTCTACAGGTGATGTGTCCTCTAGGAGTTCAGGTAATAACAGGGCAATACTTGAGTCAAGTAGCTCATATCCTGGACCTGGTGTCTCAACCAATATTAATCTTGCAGCAGCTTATGCTAATTTCCTTAATCAACCAGAGCCTCAGGCAGAAGTCCCCTTGTTGTTATATGATGGTACGTTGAATCACTTCATCCACAAATTTAGTTATTAAAAAGGGAACATATTTATTTGGCCTATGTTTGACGGCTTTTTTTTTTTCTTTTTTTTTTTTTTTCATTGGCTGGAAAACAATGTTGTCTACAGTAAAGTAGCCCCTTGAGCGATGAAATGCAGTTTTACCACTTTACTTAAGGTGTACGTGTACAATTGACCCTTTTATTTTATTATTATTATTTTTTTAAATACAAAACTCTTTATTTCCAAACTTACCCTCAAAATTGTTTTGAACTACCTACAAAAAAAATTGTCTCTATGCCATTGAGGGTAATGTTATAATTTGAAATTTTGGCCCCTCGGGACATAGTCCAGTGGTGCAAAGGACAAGAGTGAGGTAATCTCATGTCTTGTTGACAGCCGCAGTATAGGGGTTCGATTCCTGAGATATGAAATTGGACTCCTTGTAGGCGCAATGTACATACAGCTCTTGTTCTCTGGCCTGCTGAGACACATCCCACGATTTACCTTCCTCACAAAGTTCTATGAATGGGGCGATGGGGACCCTCAAGGTTAGAGTTCAACCTTTTTTTTTTTTTTTTTTTTTAATTTGAAATTTTGCCGCTGAGTGCATGATTGGAAAATCAATTTTCAACTGTTGCAAGTCCAGTACAAATAAAAAAAAAATTAAAAAATTGCTCCTATCAGGTGGGTAGGTATTTTGTAATTAATATGTGACTGTTTAAAAAATTGGAAAAACTTTATAATGCCAAATAAGTGCAGTCAAATAGAGACTTATTACACTCTTGAGTATTGTCTTCTACACGTGTACAAGTTTCATAAATAAGTCAGTGCAAACTGTATGCGAGTACTTTTGTCTTTTTGATACATATTGAACAGCCTCATAGAAAGTCGACAAACTAAATTCTCTAAATCTTGTCTTCAACGGGCATTCCATCTTTCGACTACACAGCAGGTTTAGACCAAGAAAGTGGATGCGGAATTCTTTCTGATAAGTTATTAGAAATTCATGCAGGCGATGAAAATGCAAGATATTTTTCTGGGCTTGACGCATTTAATCAGAAGCATCAGTATGCAACTGATCATCAGTTAATTACAAGTATGAACGGCCCGATGAACAATTCTCCGTTGCCGCCATTGCCTAGTGAAGATGTAGCAACTTCTGAAGAGATGGTGGGATCCAGCTTTGAATTAATGTTGCCAAATCATATATTTCAGTCAACAGATCAAACGGCAAGGATTGAACAAGATTCAGAACAGTTGAATAGAAATGGGAACCCATTTAGCATGCTGAATCTTGAAGCCATTTTCAGACATCAAGTCTTGATGAGGTTCCCTTTTATATCTTAGTTTTGCATAGGTTAAAACTTCTATAAAAATATATACTACTGCTGAATTTGTAATCGTACACAGTAATAACAATAGATAAAACTGCACCAATTTACACAATTCTTTCATGGTAGCATACGGGACTTGGGGGATTGGGTCTGATAAAAACTTTCTGGAAAATGTCAAATGATCCATGCAGTTGACACTCCAGGTGATAGTACCCTCACAAGGCCGACATCGGTCCCTCATGAATAAAATAATCCTGACCCCTCCATGTGTGTGTATTATGTCAACTATGCGGTTATCCGTGCGGATTATGTAGCTCGGTCCTTAGCCAAAGTGCTAGGTTATCGAACCGACATTGACCTGACGTGCATGCTGTATTCATTTAATAAAACGCACAATTTTTTATATAAGTGTCATGTGCACCAAGAATTTACACTTTAAAATATCTTGTCGAAGTTGAAAGTTTTGCATTGAAATTGGAAAACCAATATAGAATTCAGTGATCCAAGAAAGAATCCCTGGCAATCATCCTAGTTTGACAAGATAATCAAAGAATACTTTCTAAATTAATTAGAAGATTAGTCAAATCATGAACATGTCACTCCATACCCCTATATTTAATGCATATTAATATAAATTTCTATATTTAATTCATACTAATATAAATTTCAACAATTGTTGGAGTAATTCTTATTCTTATTTTGAGAGAGAAAAAAAAATTAATCTTTTTTGAAAAGTTAAATCTGACAATTTCTATTGAATCTATCTCACCAAAAGCTTAAACTATTACAAATATAGAAATTTATTTATTTAAATTTAGTCTTCAAAATGTACTAGCAAACGTGATTTATATTTTATCAAATCCATGTTACTCGCAAGATCCTTATGAATGAGTGCCATTGAGACTTAAGCGTGTATCTTATGTTTGCTTTGATGACTGATATATGTTCAATTATCTCGTCTAAAAATTTAAAGTTGATTGAATCAACATAGAATTAGATAGTTGTCCGTCACATATACATGCTCTCTCCATCAATTGAACTGACTATATGGTCATGCTGATGAAGGTTAATACCGAGGAAAATTTCAAATAGCAGCCCCATTTCTCACTGGTTTCTGGAAAAAAAAAAAAAAAAGACCACACGAAATAATTTGGTTCGATGGAGTGCCTACACAGAGTAGAGTGTTTTCATTATTGATTACTCAATGACGACAAAATCTACACAGTAAATGGTATATCGCAAAGCAGTGAATACAGAAACAAAATCCTTGACTGCAACAAGCGAATCCCAAAATAGCATAAATCACTTCGCTTCACCTACTTTTTCAATACTCAAAAAATTGAAGATAGAAGAATTATTTCCAAAAAGTTTATATATATTTCTCAACCGTGTGTTAGATTCTACCGTATATGTACTCTTAACTAAATTCAGTTATGCACACAACTAGTTTCGATCTATCCCCTAATTCCGTCACTATATCTAGATGGACAAGAATCAAGCAACTCCATGGGCACACATGGAGAGTTCTTCCATGATCTTGCATGCAGTTTAAGTATGGCTCCAGCTGTCTTCATTGTTTTGGTCCCGCAATTAACTTGAAGCACAAGGCACAGCTTTGTCACTGCACCAATCTGCAACATTTCTTGAAGAACCCGATGAGATGCAGAGAATTTCGAAATTGAATGTAAAATTCTAACTCCCCTTTCACTTGCAACTTGTGAAACCCTAAGTATTTTCTTCGACACAATGGCCAATCCTGCACTGTGCTTTAATAATTCTGCTCTTCCTTCCGCGCATTGGCATAGAAAATCCAACACCGTTAGCATCATTTCACAAGCCCTTTTGTTTGAAGTGTCCAGTAAAAGGTCAATTAATGAAGAAACTGCTCCTGCTTCCACCGCTTTGATCTTGTTTCTTCCCCATGGACAGACAATGGTAAGAATTTTCAGAGAAGATTTTGAGGCTTTTTGAGAAATCTGATCCTTCAAGATTTGGACTAATTCGATGAAGAATTCAGGTTTTAAGATGGTCAACTCTGTTGGATCATCTGTTGGGAATCTACTTATACATGCACAACGGAAAATTAAATTATTTCGATTCCCATCCAATAGATCTCATTGTGTTTGGTTAGAAATTGTGATAAGATTGTACCTTTTTCAGATCTGCAATCCTTTTGCTTCTCATTGTGTTTGGTTAGAAATTGTGATAAGATTGTACCTTTTTCAGATCTGCAATCCTTTTGCTTTTCTTTTCGTTCCATAACTTTGATTCGCCACCACAGCTGTCCAATTGTTCAGCCTCCAACGGTGATCCACACAGAGAATATGATTGCAGCCTCTAGGGTTTTCTCTTGTGCTAGCAAGAATAATGAAAACCTTAATCGACCTCAAACCCTAGTTATGTATTTATATAAACCCAAATAGGCTCGGCCCGGTCCGGCCCAATAATTAATTAATCCAATTAATTAAACCCGGTCCGTGAATAACAAATTCAATTAATTAATTTATCCAACGATTGTTAAATTAATCAATTGGCAATTTGCAATCTTCTAATTCTCTTTTGTGTGTGACCCATTAGGTTCCCGACCACGATGCCTAACGACGTGAAATATTATTTTGATCTAATCAAAATTGATAAATTAAAACACTCCTTTTAATTTATCGTCAATTCACATTCGCCGTCCCTGATTGACATCTAGCAATGTGTCAGGGCAATACATGTGACGGGAAATGTCACGTGGTATGACAAAACCAAATTCGTTCGTTTACCGTGAAACTATAATCCCTTCGTCAATATGATCCGATCAATTACGAGATATGGAATTGTGTCAATCTCGATCATCGATCATATCTTTCACTCCACTATTAAGTCAATATAAATCGAAAACTCCTTTTCGACTCATGTGTACACCTTGGCCAAGGATTTGATCATTGACTTAATTGAATGAAACGCAGATCATAATCTCCTACTATCTAAGAGTGACGAATCCTTTATTGATCAATCACAACCTTCATACGATTCTTGACGTACCCGAACGATGTCGTATTAGCGGCCCTTTTCAGAGCAACATCCAACACCGCCAAAGTATGACTGTCCTCATATAAGGTACCATGACGACCTCAAGTCAAAGGACCAATTTCACTACCGAACGTTAGAGATTAACCACCGACACTCAGATAGTTATCCATGTGGAATCTCTCGACGGGTCTCCAATGTTTTGTTCTATAACAAACATCCACGTGTTCATTTAAGTGTCACCACACTT